GAGTCGCAAGAAATCTGCGCAAGGGATGGTATTAAGCCCATGTCACTGTTTATTATAACAAACGATATCAGGCCCAATACAGTGTTTACGGGCCTTAATGCGAGCCCAATACAATGACATGTCAGTTCTAACCCAACACTAACACCTTTGGATCGTGTTTGATGCCGCCAGACGCAAGTGCTATTAACAAATATTAAGCAAAGCAACTTACTTCAAATGGTCTAATCCATGCCATTAAGGTATCATATAGAAGGGATTGACTAACATGCATTAATTAGGCCAAAGAATTGGCATGTAATGTCATCCATCACTTTTGACGACTTTTCTAAACATATTTCAAAGGAAACGTCACATATTGGAAATGGCAAATAAGCTCTGCTTTATTAATTTATTGTTGTAAATATTAGGTCTTTTATTATTATTAGTATTTGTTGTATTGGGCCAAGTCCATTAGGTCAAGAATTAGGTTTTTTAGTCTCTATAAATAGAGACCTCTTTGTATCAGATTAATACACAATTCAATAATATTTCAAATACCATTTTCTTTCAAGTTGGTATCAGAGCTCTTGATCCTGAGGACTCTGCTTCCGCGCCTATTGTCTTTAGAACAAGAACATTTTATTCTTTGTCTCTCGCTGCCATCAGCCGCCACCGGATTTTTTCCAGGGACCTCTTGGACCGAGAAGATCTCTGTTATACTGGATCTCTGTTACTGTTCATCGTCTCTGTTACTATTCATCGTCTCCATTATTCTTCATCACAAGACAGAATATGTTCATCACGATTGGACCCTTTCCCGGTGGTTTTTCAACTCCGAACAGACCCAGAAAGAACCGCGTTCACCGAACGACGTTGCTCCAGAAATTTCAGACCTGACGGCCACCGCACGCGCCGCCCTCAACCACGAGTGAAGCCCACGTGCAGCCAATCTCACCGGCGCGTGGCAGCGCGTGAGACCATTTTTCCGGATCGGACCACCGCGATCTTGATCGTCCCTTCATCCTCTTTCTGGATCTGTGCTTCTCTCTTTGACCGGACATCGTTTGGTATTTATTTGTGATTTTTTGGCTTCTTGGAGCTTTTCTTTAACCATTTTCTGTGCAGTATGGCCTCTTCTCAAAGGAGTTCTTTTTCAAAATTTTATGATGGTACCTCTTCTAGACCTAAGAGAGATGATCGATGGTGTTCTTATTGTAAAAGAACAGGTCATATCAAGGATTTATGCTTTCGCCTTTATGGAAAGCAAACTGTCTTAGAAAAGATGGCAATGATGCGTGGTCAAGCGCATTTTACTTCTTCTGAAATAACCCCTGCACCTAATGAGACCCAATATGCATTTCGTCCAGATGAGTTGGAACGACTCTGAACCATTCTTGATTATCTGAGTAAGCCATCTGATACTAGTGCTTTGGCTATGACTGGTATGAGCTCCAAAACTCATTCTTTCATTTCTTCATGTAATGATTTTAAACATTCTTGGGTTGTTGATTCTGGTGCTACTGATCATATGGCTTGTTGTGCTGACTCCTTTATTTCTTATCATCCTACCATTGGAACTCATACAATATCCATAGCTGATGGCTCACATACATCAGTTGCGGGTTCTGGTGACATAAACTTACAGCAGTCCTTACATCTTAAGGATGTTCTTCATGTTCCTAAACTCTCCACGAATCTTCTTTCTATTCACAAAATTACAAAAGATTTGAATTGTACTGTAACCTTCTTCCCTACCCATTTTGTTTTTCAGGATCTCGCCACGGGGAAGACGATTGGTAGTGCTAAAGAGCAAGGTGGGCTGTACTATCTGGTGTCACAATCTCCCGCAAATAAAGTGACAGATCACACCTTCATGTCTCATGGTCAATCAACTGCTGATTCTTTAATTTGGCTGCATCATAAGCATTTGGGTCATCCTCCATTTAGTTTACTCAAATCTTTATTTCCGTCATTGTTTTTGTCTAAGTTTGTTGAGTCTTTTCATTGTGATGTTTGTGAATTTGCTAAGCATCATCGTGTGTCTTTTCCTTCTAGTATTACTAAGAGTGTTGAACCTTTTGATCTTATTCATTCTGATGTTTGGGGTCCTTCTAAGGTCCCTCATTCTTCTGGAAATAAATGGTTTGTTTCTTTTATTGATGATTGCACTCGTGTAACTTGGGTTTACTTAATGCGTGAAAAGTCTGAGGTACCACAACTGTTCTTTCAATTTTATAAAATGATTGAGACTCAATTTTGTAAAAAAATCAAAAGACTAAGGACAGATAATGGTACTGAATATGTCAATCACTCTTTTTCCCAATTTATACAAAATCAAGGTATGATTCATGAACTTACTTGTGTAGACACCCCTCAACAAAATGGGGTTGCTGAAAGGAAAAATCGTCACCTTCTTGAAGTTGCTCGTGCCTTACTGTTTCAAACACATGTACCCAAATGCTATTGGGGAGATGTCATTCTTACTGTAGCGTTCTTGATCAATCGTCTACCCACTCGGGTTCTCGATCATGTAAGTTCTATTCACTCCATGACTTCTTTTTTTCCTTCTGTTCCAACTTTGCAAAGTCTTCCTCCTCGAGTGTTTGGGTGTGTTGTCTTTGTTCATATTATAAACAGCATCGCAATAAGTTGGATCCTAGGGCTCTTAAATGTGTCTTCCTTGGATATGCTCCTGATAAGAAGGGCTACAAGTGCTATCACCCTGGAAGTCGGAAATTTTTTGTTTCTATGGATGTTACATTTCAGGAATCTGAGTCCTTTTTCCAAGGTCCTCATCTTTAGGGGGAGAATAATTCACCAGAAGACTCATCATCTTCCTTCTTTGAATCTTCAGTGTCTACTCCTTCACCTGTGTCAGTGTCTCTTCCTCTTGTTCCTGTTCCTAATGTGTCTATGTCTGATCCTCCTGTGACTGATCCTCTTATGACTGATACATCAAGTACACCAGAGATACGGAAGATTGTAACACCTGAATTGGTATATCAAAGAAGGAAACAGCCCACATTGCCTCAACAACAACCTCAATCGTCTGAACCCCTGGTAAGTCCTGAATCTCATATTTCTGATCATGATGTTAATACTTCTGATGAACCCAATACTACTGCTTCTGATGATTTACCCATTGCTTTAAGAAAAGGAAAAAGATCTTGTTCCAAGAAAATTTGTTCTTCTTGTCCCTCTTGTACTCAATACCCTATCTCCCATTTTGTTTCCTCTGCTACTCTTTCTGTGCAGCACAAAAGCTTTGTTTCAGCACTAGATTCTACTTCAATCACAAAATCAGTACATGAAGCTTTGAAAGATGGGAATTGGGCTCAAGCCATGCAATATAAGATGAATGCGTTGGAGAAAAATAAAACATGGGAGGTTATTGATAGACCCAACGGAAAGAAAGCAGTAAGGTGCAGATGGGTTTATGCCCTGAAATATAATTCTGATGGCACTCTTGAGAGATACAAGGCTCGATTAGTCGCCAAAGGTTACACTCAAACCTATGGCATTGATTATGAAGAAACCTTTGCTCCAGTTGCAAAGATGAATACAGTGAGAATCTTGTTGTCCCTTGCTGCCCATTACAATTGGGATATAAATCAATTTGATGTGAAAAATGATTTCCTCAATGGTGAGTTAGAAGAAGAAGTCTACATGGAAATCCCGCCTGGTTTTGATTCTGTTAAGGGGGAAAATAAAGTTTGTCGATTAAAAAAGGCCTTGTATGGATTGAAACAGTCACCTCGTGCTTGGTTTGGAAGGTTTACTAAGGTTATGATGACCTTAGGATATAGACAAAGTCAAGGAGATCACACTCTTTTCTTCAAGCACTCCCAAAATGGGAAGCTTACTGTGCTCCTTGTATATGTTGATGATATTATTATCACAGGTGATGATTTTGTGGAGAGACAGATTCTGCAGACACGACTTGCCTCTTAGTTCGAAGTCAAAGACCTTGGGAAACTGAGATATTTCCTAGGGATAGAAATAGCTCATTCAAGCAAAGAAATTTTTATCAGTCAGAGGAAATATGTTTTGGATCTTCCCAAAGAAGCAGGGAAGATCGGGTGTAAACCCTCTAATACTCCTATTGAGCAGAATCACAAGATAGGCTTTGAAGAGGAGAGTCCTCCAGTTGATAAAGGACAATATCAACGGCTAGTTGGAAAATTGATATATCTGGCTCATACTAGGCCAGACCTAGCTTATGCTGTTAGTGTTGTCAGTCAGTTTATGCACGATCCAAAGGAGAAACACATGCAGGCAATAGAGAGAATTCTTCAGTATCTTAAAGCTACTCCTGGTAAAGGATTGTTATTCTGACGTGATGGTAATCTCTCTTTAGAAGTCTACACTGATGCTGATTATACTGGATCCGTGACTGACCGTTGTTCTACCACTGGTTATTGCATGTTTCTTTGCGATAACTTGGTGACATGGAGAAGTAAGAAACAAGATGTGGTTGCCAGATCAAGTGCAGAAGCTGAATTTCGAGCTATGGCTCAAGGCATTTGTGAGTTACTGTGGCTGAAAATTGTACTTGATGATCTCAAAATAAAATGTGAGGGACCTATGAAGCTGCTATGTGATAATAAGTTCGCTATTTGTATAGCTCATAATCCAGTTCAACATGATCGGACTAAACATATTGAGGTCGACCGCCATTTCATCAAAGAGAAACTTGATAGCGGGTTGATTACCACTCCATACATTCCCACTGGACGTCAATTAACTGATCTATTGACAAAGGGACTTCCTTCAGACAGATTTCAAGAACTTACTAGCAAGCTGGGAATGATAAATATCTATTCCTCAGCTTGAGGGGGAGTGTTGTAAATATTAGGTCTTTTATTATTATTAGTATTTGTTGTATTGGGCCAAGCCCATTAGGTCAAGAATTAGGTTTTTTAGTCTCTATAAATAGAGACCTCTTTGTATCAGATTAATACACAATTCAATAATATTTCAAATACCCTTTTCTTTCAAGTTTTATTTAACAAGTGGCTTTCCACAAATTTATTTGGCAATCACGCAAATATCCTTCATGAGTAAATTCTAGCAGCATACCAAGCTTTTTTTTCACCATTTAATTTCTGAACACATCAGCATTCTATATTCCGATCTTGAGGCCATCCAAACTCCTCCAAGAATGCCAACACAACACCATTCGACCAGCCAAAACCAGTCTGCATTGCAACACAACCACAGTCAAATTCATGTCAAACAGACAGATGTCATTTATTTTTTTCCCTTCGAAATAAGAATAATAATAATAATAATAACAACAAGGGGAAGGTTATATTTACAAACTTTTTTTCTTACAAACTTACAAACTATATTAAGTATGACTGGTCAGATTTCAATTAAGAGTATATGACCGGTCCGACATGGTATAGTTTATAAGAGTTTGTAAACAAAAAGTTTGTAAATATAATCTTCCCTAATAACAAATCCATGAGAAGTTTACCAGGCAAATTTCTTCTCAGTCACTCACAATTCAGATATATGTTTCTCAAATGTCTCCCTAGACCAAAAGTGATTTCTGATTTATAAACCATGATGATGTAGAGCAGTCATACCTGAGGTACATATTCACCCCCACCACCAAATTCTCCACAATGCTCCACGTCAAACTTTTCATGCATTACACCAGTTTTCTTGTAAACAATATAATTGGTTGTGATCCATCTGATGGCAATTTCCTCAGCCAATAATCTTGCTTCTTTCGACCCTGATTTCATCAGGCCTTCAACTAGCATGTGTTGAAGCGGGGCCCAACCATTTGGGAAGTCCCTATTTCAAGTTTCATAAGAGTCATTTAACAAAGGCTGATTAAGTGAAATATTTTACCTGTCTTCCCTTCTCTCACCCTTCTTCTCCTTTTCCGATTCCTATATATGTAGAAAAGCTTTTGCAGTATAACATCATCTAAATCTTATTGCTTACCACTGTTGTCCTGAATCACTCAAAGAAGTTGCAATTCCAGCAGCACGAAGCAGGCCAGAAGTTTTGAGACTTTCAACAACACCACCCACAAGCGAAGTATCTTGATAAATACAAAATATATTGATCATCAACTTAAAACACAAAATTCTTTCTTAATATTTCAGAGAGAAAAGTAAACTCATTAACCAAAGGCTACATGCATTATTTGTGATCTATATCTCCCAAAGTTCAAATAAATTTTCAGTTTTTCTCAGTGGTGCTTGTTTGATATCAAGCAGAAATAATTTTAAAAGTGAAAAAGTGCTAAAAGCACCCTCTGTGTGCATTAAACATAAATTCATTCCTTATTTAAATTAATATTTGACACCAATGTAAAATTGTTGAGATATATAGTTCCACAGTGGTTGTATATGCAACTAATGTGAAGTTTATAAGGTCTTGGACACTCCCACCTTTTGAGCTAGCTTTTGGGGTGGTGTATCCCAAGGTTCTTTACATGGTATCAGAGCTTCGCCGCCCCCCACTTTCTCTTGTGGCGTTTCTTAGCACAGGTAGGCTGGGCCTGTTGCACTGTCCACTCTTCAAGCCCAATGGGCTCTCGTGTGAGGGGGCGTGTTGAGATATATAGTTCCACAGTGGTTGTATATGCAACTAATGTGAAGTTTATAAGGTCTTGGACACTCCCACCCTTTGAGCTAGCTTTTGGGGTGGTGTATCCCAAGGTTCTTTACAAAAATAAACTAATATTACACCGTTTAATAGCTTTGTAGATCATTCTTATAAAATTACATACTAACCTAAAACTGTTTAGCACTCTATCCATATGTTTAAAGACCAACTATTTGATTTAATACTTAATAATCCATAGTTAATTTAAAATTTGGGATTACATATTTATCAATTGGTCCTAATTTCCTAATTCTCTACAAGCATGTTGTATTCAAGGCAACCAAATGTAAATGAAGTTCACGTTTGCTAATTAGAAAAATAACAAGGCTTGAACCCAATATTAAACTGATACCGCAATGATTGCAACTAGTCATGCAATTAAATTTACTTGCTAATTGCTACTAAAGTTGATGTGGATATCAAATCAAGAGTACCTGAGTAAAATGGCTCCATCCACAAAGGAACAAAATTGGAAGCAAATATATTTTGATTCTGGTGCAGGGTTTCCCAAACTTGAGCCTCCTAGAAGTATCAAAGAGACAGTCAGCAGAACTGCAGAAGGCTACAATAGCTCCCCTTGTGGTAGATTTCTACAAGTAGCACTAGGAAATACCTCACATGTGTCATTGCTGAGCCAGTAATCAAGCCATTGTTTCTTGTTTACATTCCAGAAAACAGAGTTCATTGCATTCTTTCTAACATGAGAAATTTCCAGGAAGTGCTTTGCAGTGCTATTATCTCCAGTAACTTTTGCAAAGAAGGCAATATTAAGTTCCATCTGAATCAATGAGCATCACAGAATTAATCAGGTTACAAACACTGATTTCAGGTCTTCTTTTAGTCATTGGTCTTAAGACATACCCCAAGTAGAAATGCATTTAAATCAACAGGTACTACAGATGTTGTGGCCAATGTTGTGAAATCAGGTGGATCTCTGCATCAAAACATGATATGATTTTATCAAATTGTAAGTATTGTTCGCTAATTAAAGAAGAAAACGTGATATGATGTTGCGGCCAATTGCATTCAGATAACTTTCATGATTTTTTCTTTTTCAAAAATCTTAGTTGTACACAAAATAGTACCTCATCCATCTTGTGCTGAAATCCCATCCAGATTCAGCAGCTGATGCCAGTTCAAGGTAAAAATGTTGTTTTTCTGAAACATTCAAGAACTTGGAGGCAGATTCCTGGTCCTATGTCATGGAATAACACCCAAAGTTATAGTTCATGTAAAGAACCTTGGGATACACTACCCCAAGAGCTAGCTTAAAGGGTGGGAGTGCCCAAGGCCTTATAAACTTCATATTAGTTGCACATACAACCAATGTGGGACTATATATCTCAATAGTTTAAACGTCATTTCACTAATACCACACTTCTTAACAAACAGCACACACCATTATGGATGATTCTGGCCTGGGTTTGTTCCACATTGCATAATAACGATTTAAGGTGTGAGTGCAACCTTGAGCATCCCGAATGCTCACTTTATGTATATCTACAACATGAATTAAAAGGTTCAACCATATGACTCAGGCAACCTCAAAGGTAGATATACAAGTATCATCCAACCATAGATAATAATAAACTATAAAGCAATTGAGGAAAAAGTTGTGTTGTAATACCTGAATTCCAAAACTCATACTCTTTTAGTAGTGCAGGTAGAGATCTTTTAACTAATTCTATATCACCAGTGCTACAGTATATCTCATAAATCATAGCGCTTAAAAGGGGAGGCTGACTGTAAAATCATAGTCAAGCTTATATGTCAGCCTTTTCTGTTTTTAAGAGCAAGAGTTATAATAATAATAATAATAATAATAATTTCTTTTTATTTCAAAAGGTGCAGTGCAGATATGAGGATTGCGTGATATCAAGGTAAAACGAAGAGAGTTAAATCATGCTACAATATCCTTTTGAAACTTATTCGTTATGTCATTCTAAGATCAGAAGTTTAAATTATAAAACCAGGAGAGAAAAAAATTTGTTTTTTGAGTGTACAAAAGGATCGGCATGTCATCTTAATCACACAGATACATTTCAAGCACACAAAACAAAAAAATAAAAAAAAAAATCCAAGTTGAGACTTAGACTACTCATAAAAAATATGATGATTTAGAAAGTCCAATCGTGTGGGTGTTACTGTTTTGAAGCTATTTCATAACCACGCACATTAATTCCTAAGCAGTACTTCTAGCTATATTTGCATAATTACTAAGAGATCACAGAAGTTTGCAATCACTCAAAATGGGGGGAGTCAACACCAATAGTTAAAATAATTAAAAACTATACGAGCAACTTTTATTACCTGAAAATATCAACCTATTAAGGAAAGAAAAGTGTTTGTCATTGACATAAAATTATGTTATTTTAAGAGACAGACATATAATAATATTTTTTTATTTAAAATTTAAATTAAAAAAAATCACTCACTTTCTCTCTTATAATTTTCATTCCTTGTGTCTATCTCTCTCCTAAAATGATATGACTTATGTTATTTAAAATGACAAACATCAAATCCAAATAATAAATAAGAAAAAAGAAAAAACACAACAACAAAGCTGGAATAGCTCAGTTGGCTAGAGCGTGTGGCTGTTAACCACAAGGTCGGAGGTTCAAGCCCTCCTTCTAGCGTTTTTATTATTATCTTTTATTTACTATATTAACCTTTAAAAGGTGAAAAAGGAAAAGACAAAAAAGACATAAAAAAATAGCATTACACAACATAAACATAACGATGAATGGAAAAGCCAAGTCAAGTGGGGTACCTCCTGTTAGTGTAGTATGCTCTAGCACCATTAAGCACAAATCCATATTCTTGTATTAAGGAAATGAGATTAGTCACAATTGCAGTTGCAGTCTTATACATTTTACTCACCAGCAAGCCCCTGAAATGAATCCCCCAAAAAAGCAAAACAAAACAACAAGAACCCCATTAAGCAGTGTCATAGTATTAGTAGCAATGACTTCAATGAAGCAAAAAGAAAGAGGCCCATTAACAAACCTAATTACCCAGTAGGAATCCCAGTAATAAACCTCACGAAAGCGCGACCCAGGAATCACAACAGAACCTGGCAGAGGAAGAAGAGTATGCAACTGTGGGTGGGTCTTGACCCGAGCGGATATTTTCCGGGTCAAGTTTTTCCAAAGGGAATGGACCTTCAGGGCCCAGGCCCTAACCTCAGGGTGCTTAACCTTGGGCAAGAAACCCTCTGGCTCGGGAACGAAATCCTCTGGTTCAAAGTACACCAGATCATCCCCTGCACCTTCGAAGTACGCTTTTATGAAACGGTTCAAATCCTCAACCGACACGGTCCCGTTTGCGTTCCTTGGAAGCTTCTGGAATGCGTTCTCAGTGACAGACAGGTTGGACTTGAGAGGCAAGTCCACGTAGGTTTTAGGATCGAAGTGCGATTCGCCAAAGGTATTGAATGCGGTTTCTTGGAGGCGTTCGAGAAAGGAAACAAGAGGGGTTGAGGGCTTCACAATCACATCCATGGGGCCACAGGGTGATCCTGTCACTGTCACTGTGAGAGAGAAATAGAATAGGCAAGTCAGCACGTGCAGTTTGTGAGTGAGGAATGAAAACTGCTTCACCATTGTTGGAAATAAACAAGGTGAAGTTGTTAACATTGTTGATTTTGTAAAGATGATGCTAATTAGTAATTACTGAACCAAAACAACAGATAACAGAATTAAAATAAATAAATAAATGAAGAAGAAGAATAAACAAACCAAAAGAGAACAGCGACTGGTGAAGCCGGCAAATTGCCGCAAGGTATCTAACTTTTGCTTAAGATATTTTCTAGTCACTTTCGGTATTAACTAACTCACCTTGCCTTTCCGAACACTGTCCATTGGTTAACTCTTGCATCAGATGTCAAGCAAGTTTGACTATCTCGAAAGGAAAAAATATTATTATATACAGTACGGAGGAGAGGTTATATTTACTAATTTTTTTTTACTTATTATCTTTTATTATTAAATTTTAACCGTTGATTTTTGTCAATTTAACGATTATAATTTATTGAAAATTAATAATTAATTAATAAGTATAACTCAATAAATTACAACTGTTAGATTGACGAAAATCAACAGTTATAATTTAATAGTAAGAAAAAGATATAATAACTATAACCTCCCCGTATAGAATGGAATTAATATTTTGGAGATAATTTTATATCTTATACATGTATAAAAATGTATAAGATTCATATAAAAAAAAGAGAATAAAGAAAATACAAATCTCATGTACTTTTACGTGTTTATAAACAAAAATACTAATCCCATATACATTAAGAGAATATAGTTTTTAACGTTACGTAAGATAATTTATCTCATCCAACACAAAAAAGGAAGATAAAATCCACTAAAAAGAAGGGAGAGAAAGAAAATAAGCAGGTCCATCAATTTTTGTGTGTGTTCAAATTGTCTTATACAAATTATATACCTGCACATAAAATAAACAATAAAAAAAGAAAAAAAAATGCATCCTTTTAATAGTTATACATTATGTCTTAACGATAAGATAAAATTATAATATGAAAAGATTTTTTTTCTGTCTCCTCAGTCACATCAGCTGACTTAAAAAGTGAAAAAAAAAAAAACTTTTCGTACTATAATTATATTTTACCATTAAGATATAATATGAAGCTACTAAAAGGACATAAATTATACCCTTAAAAACGAAAAATGGACCCTAAAAAAAACGAACATATTTTACTGAATTTGGTTACTGTTTTTTCCTTTTATATTTTTCCCTCCTCCTTTAATTTTTTTCACCCCATCAATGGATGACTTTGACTTAGTTCTTTTAAGTTGTACTTATGTAACGTTATATATATAAAGTAAAATCAAGTCTAGTTTATCCCTGTTACTCAAGCTATCATACCTGTTAGTTTTGTCTTTCTTGGGCCCAAGGCCCACCATATGTACTCAAAAAAAATTGAGTCTAGTTTAACTTTTCAATTTTTTTTTAGAAATACATATTAATTTTAATTTTTCCATTTTAAATCTTTTGAATTAATTATTTATATCTTCTTTATAATTTTTAAATTTTATATGAATTAATTATGTATTTTTTATAATTTTAAATATTTCTATTTTAATTTATTTCTTGAATTTTATATAAATTTAATGGGGAGGATTATATTTACAAATTCTTATAAACTACACTATATTATGAGTAGTACATTCCAAACTACCCCTAATATATAGTATAATTTGTAAGAGTTTATAAAAAAAATTATAAATATAATCCTCCCCAAATTTGTGCAATGCACAATATTAATGCTAGTAATAATTGAAACGAAAACAAGGGAAATAAAAAAATATATTAAAATCAATTTATTTTAAAAGCGAGCAAATATATTTTAAATTAAATTCATAGTAAATATATTTTTTATTTATTTTAAAACAAACTCAAGATTACAACACTTGTAGGGGTTTTGTTTTGTTTTGTTTTTTTTTATATAAACACAAAACTTGTAGGTTTGCTTACAAGCCATGTGGGATCGATATTAGGTTAAGGTGCGTAAAATTCTCTAACTAGAATGAAGAATTGGCTAAAGCCTAAAGGTAAGGACATTCGTTTTTTGGAAAAATAAAGAGAAAAAGCAAAGTTGATTCCTTATGAATTAAGGACGTGTTTGGGTAAATTATAAAAAATACTTTTATGATATAATTTTTAATTTTTTAAAAAAGAAACAAGGTTTTATAACTTTAAAGGAAAATACTAAAATTTATTTATTTATTTTTACTTTTTTCAAAAATTTATTTAATCATTATAAAATTTTGATATATTTTTTAATCAATTAAAAAAAGCTTAAAGAATTAGACTCTAAGCTGTAAAGTGCTTGCCTTTAACTCCTCAAGAATTACAAAAGGAGTCAAAATAATGATTTAACTTATAATTTGAGGATAAAAAGTAGGAGTCTAATCGTGTCGATTAGGGAAAAAAATTGGTTTGAGTTGATTTGACTTTGGTAAAAACAATATGTTAATCTAAACTAAACTAACTCGATTAAATTTAGCTTGATTTGAGTAGATTATTGGATAGCATTATTTATATGTTAAAGCAAATATTAGATAAAAAGAATAGAAGGAGATTAAAACATAAAAGAATAAAATAAAATAAAATATATGAGGTAGGATATTCTTACTACCAAATATTCCTACTACCAATCTACTACAACTTTTTAGCCATTGGATACCATTTTTCAGCATACAATCTACTACCACTTTTTAGTTGTTGGATCTCACTTTTCAGCAGATAAACTTTAAAAAGTTTATGAAAAAAAAAGAAAAAAAACAGCTTATGATGTACTAACGGTAATACATAATCATATTAAATTGGTAGCATGAACATTTAGTAGTAAGAATATTCTATCTTATTTCACCAAAAAAAATATTCTATCTCAATATATATATATATATATATATATATATATATATATATATATAGGCATGATCCTTTGACACTGGTGTCAAATTTAAAGTTTGACACCTCATCTGAGAGTCATTAGATCAAAAAATCAATGACTCTGATTCGTAAGCATGTGATACCATTGGTTAGGTTAATGCATATGTTTAACTTTCGATTAGGTTAATGCACTCTAAGGCTGAACCATTTCTTCTATAGCAATTCTGTATTGTTACGAACACTGCAAGCACTGCCACACAATGAAATTGTCACCATGAACAGATTCTTACATATTCTTTGGTTTCACAATGAAAACGTAGGTTACTTATTAAAATAGAACTTGCTCTGTAAAATAGTGGCTTATCTCCCATGGTATGGACTTTGGATTGAGCTTGTCTCTCGTCATTTCAACCTCCATTCATAACTTGAAGTGCTGCGAATTGAACTTTACAAACTTGTAGAATTCCGATCCATTTCTTAACCAGAGGCATCTTGACTAAATAGACAAGAAATTAAATGCTACTCGTGTTTGTCAATAATTTGGAGAAAACTAAAATATACGTGACGCGGGTGACAGGATGCTCACGTAGGGAAATTTTTGGTCAAATTGAATGAGCTGTCTCACCCGTCGGTACCTATTTAACACGTCATCGAGAATCGAGATTTACACGAAGTCGCAATATGATTTTCGTTAATATTTGTTCAGGATCAACACAGTTCGGGTCTTAGTGTATCAGTTTGATATTAGTGAATGAATCTTATCCTCCTCGAGTGGAAATAGTACGCTTGACCCCATCTTTTTTTGGTCAACTCTGGTACTGATTTTTTACTTCCACTACTTCAGTTTCACATATTGGTCTCATATAATATATCTATCAGTTCATTATTAGTTATTGATTTTTTACTTTAACTAGTCAATAAATATAATCACTATCTCACAAGCCTAAGATGTACAATTACAGGTCTAAAAATGAGGAGGGCGAGTCTGATGAGTGATGACACAAATTTTGGCACATTTTCTTTTAAAAACAGAGTAGTTGATTTGTTTTTTGTTTTTTTAGAGAAAAGAATCTCACCAAGTTCAAAGATCCATAAATTATTTGCATGTTTCCCTTTCAAGTTTGACAGTATCACGCTGAAGAGACACCCAGTGAGTCCATGTTAAGCATTTATGTTTGTCTGATAAAAATTAGTATGTGGCTTAGAGGCTAAGTGGTTTATTTGTCTTTTGGCAGTAAATAGAGAAGCAGAGCAGATAAGACAGCAGTCCTGGGATTCCGGACGTTAGACCAGAGAGGCCAAAGACCGCGACTGAAAGCAGAAAAACAGCTCTATCTATGTTTGACCGCAGAAAGCTAACTTTAATCACTATTTGCCTTTACTTTCACCACTTTTATTGACTTCAAATTGAAACATCACTTGAGAAACTCTTACAAACAGAAACTCCTACCGTGAGAAATCACTTATACTCTGACGCAAGAGAGGAATTCTAACAGGGAATATAAAGAGCTGAGAAAAAGAAACAAGATCATGGAAATTCCAACATCTTCAGAAAAGCAAGCCAAATTTCAGGCACCAAAGGGTAGAATTCTGAAGGAGAAGAGAGCAAAGCTTTACATAATTCGACGATGCATAGTCATGCTTCTCTGTTGGAAGGAGAATAGAGACGCGTAACACCGGTAAAACACTCACTCACCAAGAGCACTGAATGTACTGTTCATATTGTATTATTCTAAGGTAAATCAAATGGTTATAATACTGCAGAGGTTCTGCTTAACGAACCAGCAGGTCGGGATTACATCTGCCAGAGAAGCATTGCACGATGACCTGTATAAATGTATAAAGCAACATATGAAGGAAGCTTTTTCACCTACCGAGTGTATGTGACGCTATTGATCTACCATGATTCTTTTTTCTTTCTGTAAGTTATGATTTTTAACTACAAAAGCAATACACCTGTCATACGAGCTATATAGTGTGATTCACCCCCACACAAGCACATGTAAAGAGACAAGCAGGGAAGAGGTGAAAGATGAAATCTAGCAAGACAAGGAAGCAAGAGACCTTGGCTTAGCTCAAATTAATCTTACATTGCATGCTTTTTACTTGGAACATATTGAGTTCTACCTCTCCTCCAGAGATATTCATTACCCATATCTAGTACCACTAATAACAAAAAGTAAAGGATATTCCACTTGATCACCTTTCCTAGGCTTAGAATCAGTATAAAGTATCACCTTTAACAAAAATTAAGCATGCAGAAAATCTAAATCTCTGAGCACATTCTAAAAATAAATCTTGTTCTAAAATTGTTACTGGAATTCTACTTCCATAGGAGAAATTATTGTATAGACTTTGTATACACATGATGTATGTAAACTAAACCAATCAAAAATTGACACATTTTTATTTTATATTGAATAGTAACATAAATTTTTGTCCCATACAATTATTTAAAGTGACAATGTGTCAATTGTTGATTGGTTTAGTCTACACAACTCTACAGAAGTATCTCTCCTAATGTTTATAGCAAATCTTGAATCCTTGATGGACTAAAAAGAATTTGAATTTGTCTGAGAAATTGTACACCAGAGTTTGGAGGTTAACACAAAACCCTCGTACAATCCCCAATGTTAAATGATTCTCCATAATAGCCGTTCCACCCTCTTCCATTTCATTATTTTCCATCCAACATACTATTGTAACCATGACAAAGAAAATAAAATCACCTTTTTAAGCTATATTTAAAAAAAAAAAAAATCAATAAAACTACTTGATACACAATAACCAAAGTGCTATTGTTAGAATTGGATCAGAAAAAAGAAAGAAACAAAGGATTTTGGCCCAGATAAATCCGGATTTTCTGATATATATTGTAGAAGAAACAGAATTACAGTATGGAAATGACAAAGAAACGAAATACAGAAAATAAAGCTACTACAGTGTGATAACTACACAAGGGTCCAGCACATTCAAGAGGTGCTGAGCTCTCCCAACTCCAAGTCCAATTCCAACCTCCTCTCTCCCATGCCACTTTCACTATTTAACCAATTCTTCTAACCAACTCAGCCATCTAGAATATTATATCCACATGCTTTTAGAGACTAGCTAATCCTCTACAACCCTTTCTATATTACCTCTTTAGAGGAGGAGTCGTATCAGTTAAGTACGCAAATTCCATTAGACACTTGCCCATAGCTCCAAGTCATAACCAAAGCAATCATTTGACACCCCCCAATGAATTGAAACCAAGAACAGTGATCAGTTTATAACCATCAAGGACATATATATCTTCCATTACCTGCTGTATACTAACTACACTAAACTTTATATTAACCTCGATTGATATCATTAACTGTTTAAAGATTTATTTTATATTTGGAACCAGTTGGCAAGGTGTATCTTTCTCTATCACTTAGACATTTTTCTATATCCATCCAATAAATCTAAATATTCGACTGAATGTCCACATGTACGCATCATATTTTATCTCATTCGCTTAAAATTAAAACCACTATATGCAGTGTACTAACTTTTCGAAGAGTTGTTCATAGCAATATAATGCGCGTTAGAATTAGATTCATGATTAATACGAAAGTTTCCAATAATTCAAAGCCCAAATCAAAATCAAATCAATGAATCAAACATATTTGAAATAGTAACAATAACATCACAGCTAGAAAAGTATAATATAATTAATATAAATATATAAGCATATGTATTTAAAATAGGCACAAAATGGCATCACATGTTAATCACAGTGTAGAAATTGAAATCGGTATCCCTTACTTATTGTACATAAAAAGGAAGACAAGGAAAAATGACTATACAGCGCAGCAACGACGTCGTATTGTTTCAAACGGGGAGGTTGGCGACGTCGTTTGTGTTATGACCAGTGACCTGAACGGCCGGGGGATTGGTGGTGGTTGTGGTTGTGGTGGTGGTGGTGGTCGTGGTGGGGGTGGGGGTGGTGGAGTAATCGTCGTCGTCGTCGTCGTTGTCGGGGTCAGAGGTGGCGACGTTGACGCAAGAGAAGCGTTCCAAGGAAGAGAAGAAAGCGGAAGAGACGGTGGACCCAACCCAGGTGGCCATCTGATCGATCTTCTCCCTCGATATAAGGCTGCCGTTGTTCTCCATCGTCGCCGACAAATCAGATCTAAAATTGTTCTTCCAACGGCAACGGAAACGGAGTACGAGAAAAAAAAAGAAGTTGCGAAATCACAGCGTTTTTTTTTTTTTTTGTCTCGATTTACTAGGCACCGCCAATTTGACCAATGTCTATAGTCGATAGTCCATAGTCCATAGTAAACCATTGGGTCATTGGCCCATGGCTCATAGTTTTCATCCTTGCATTAAATTTCTAGGCTTCAACAGGGTTTGGCTTGTATGTCTTTTTTACTTTTAATTAATACAAAAAAAAATGAAATATTGTATTAAATGAATACATGTGTTTTAAATGAATATAAAAATGTTAAACAAATCAAACATGTCCTTAATTTTTCAAATGAAAATGTTTTTTTTTTCTTTAGTGGTATTGTATTTTTTATTTTATTTTTTGGTGTGGAGTGGTATTGTATTTTATTATGAAGATAGTCATAGGAATGGGGGAGAAATTACAATTTGATTGTTCGTATATCCATGTCAAATATGTGATAAATATAAAAGGAACAATGTTATTTTAACTACATGATTGTTTTATGTACTTATGAAATATTTCAAAAATAGTAGTTGAAATATAAAAGAAAAAATGTTATTTAACTTCATGATTGTTTTATTTACTTATAAAATATTTCAAAAATAGTATTTAATTTTAATCTATTTTATGTGTGAATCAGAGGAAGTCACGTACTTCAAAAAAAAATATTAAACTTTTTAGTAGAACAAAAGTTTTAGTTACTATAATTAGACGAGACAATATGTGTTGAAAACAACGAAATTACACGTCAACCTGTCCCACTTAGTTGTGGGTCAAAACAGATTGACGGTTTATCGGAGAGGGTTGGCCCGCAGGTTTTTTTTTTTACTAATAAATAGTATTTTATTTGTCACTAAGCTTTTGTGATATGAATTTTTTTTATCTTAATACTCCCTTAGAAAAAAAGAAGAAGAAAAACTTTATTTATAACAAAGTTTATCCATATATAGAGGCAAAAATAAATTCTTACAAAATATCTTACTGAATATTAATATAAATTTAGGCTTGAGATTGAAAAAAAAAAACTTAAGGATGGTGAAATGAAAATAAGTAATATTATAAAATTAATAAAATATAATTTATTTATTTTTTATTTTTAGGAGGGTTGACCCGCTAATCCACTACAAAACGAGGTGGGTTAGGATTTTCAACTCATATCAAATTGCGGGACGGGGCGGGCCAACCCATTTTTAACGGGTTAACAATGCTTCGAGGCGGGCCAACCCGTTTTGTTACCTCTAACTATAATAATGTTACTAACAAATGGCAATTCATTAAATAAAAAATCGCATAAACATAGTCATAAGCTATGTTGCACCGACACCGACACCGGACACGGGATACAACACGACACGACACTCCGACATGTTAATTCTAAAAGATGTTAAATTTCGACACGTTAGGACACATTTTGATATTATATAATATTTTTAATTTATGTAGTATATATTATATTTAGTATTCAATAATTTAACAAAAAAATAAAGCTAAACTTATAATACTCATCAATTTTGAAAAGAAACATAATATATCCTAAATATTTATATTAAACTCAATAAAATCATAATCGTAATCTAACGAATTTAATAGTTGGAACTCAAAATGTAACGTAATGTAATCTTTGAACCTTTTTTGAGTATTTGCAACGAGTATTGGAGTGTCGGAAAGTGTCAGAAAGTGTCAGACACGACACGTCAAGATTTTTGAATGTCGGTGCTTCATAATTCATAAGAAAACCTATATATCTCTGCTTTTCTTTTAAAATATAAAGATAATTAACTATAAATAATAAATAGCCATGCTGACCTTATCATATTGTATACTAGTATTTACCTTTAGAACATGAATCCAACGAAATGATATAGAAATGATCTTAAAAAAATATTAAAATTTGATTTCAATTAAAAAAATGCAAAAATAAATACTGAAATCATTAATGAATATTAGGTTATTATTGTTATAGGTGAGAATATTTATGCTTTTATTATTGAAAATTTTTGTCACGTGAATGGATCTCGCTTATTTTTTCTTTGTTCTTTTTATGATGAGACGTTCACATTTACCCCAGTGTGATAGAGGGAAAAAATTTGCAACAAATACATAAATTTTAAACCCATTGTTATATTATATCTTGTTAAAATGGGATGTTGGAGCCTAATGGTGAGGAATACAGGTATTTATGTAATAAGTTGGGTATTCAATTTCTTAATATATATAATAATAAAAAAACAACAACAACATGATGTTCGATCTTCGATGACTTTTGGGGCAAAATAGAAGAATACTACTACTCAATTATGCGACAATACCACCTGAACTATCATATAAATCTACCTCTAGGTTTCAGCCAAATCTATAAAAATAACTTTCTAGACATCTAACATCTACTAAAAAGCTGAAGACGTGTTGTCGTAAAACTAATCAAAAAAAGCAGCATCCAATAAATCTACTAACTAGCGAGGTAGTCCCAAATCCCATCGTACTTCCCCAGTTCTAAGATGCAGGCTAAAGGCACAAGAAAAGCAGAGTATGCAAGTAAAACCAAGCACAGAAAGCTGAAGAAGTGTTGTCGTAAAACTAACCAAAAAAAGAAAAAATACAAGTGATTCTATAAAGTATCTTGGCCACCAAAAATACAGGAGCGGGGGAAATACTTCTCAACTCCCACCTATAATTAAATTTTAAGACTCTGCTTAACCTACTAATTCTCATCAATTCTTGCTCCTACTTTGGCACCATCAGTCAAATTATAGCAAACATTCTAGAGCTCGTCGCGAGAGTCATCCTCGTCCTCCCCAGATGCACCATCTGGGGCGCCACCTGCTCTCTGATAGACAGCTGTGATAATTGGGTTACAAACAGCTTCCACTTCTTTGAGCTTCTCTTCATATTCTTCTTTCTCCACACTCTGGTTGTCATCCAGCCATTCCAGAGCTTCTTTCACAGCAGTCTCAACTTTCTCCTTTTCATCAGACTCCAACTTGTCAGCCAGCTTGTCTTTGTCACTTATCTGGTTTTTCATGTTGTAGACGTATGTTTCCAGAGCGTTACGAGCATCAATCCTCTCCTTCACTTTTTTGTCTTCCTCGGCAAACTCTTCCGCTTCACGAACCATCCGCTCAATTTCCTCCTGGCTCAGCCGTCCCTTCTCATTTGTAATGGTGATCTTTTCTGCTTTACCAGTTCCCTTGTCTTCCGCCTTCACATTTAGGATGCCATTTGCATCGACTTCAAAGGTCACTTCAATTTGAGGGGTACCTCTGTTCAATTACCACACAAAATTATCAATAAATTACAAACATCAATTGAGCAAAATTTAGAAAGGACTGCATGAAAAGCAGGAAACAAACCTTGGAGCTGGTGGAATTCCTGTCAGATCAAACTTCCCAAGCAACCGGCAATCCTTTGTGAGACTCCTCTCACCTTCAAATACCTATTAATAAAAAGGTGTCAAAATTGGGGCCAAACATTACGAATTTAGAAGAAAAATGTCTCAGCATCATGCGCTAGAGTGGAGTTGAATTATGGAACAGTACCTGAATGGAGACGGTAGTCTGCTGATCCTGGTAGGTAGTAAAAACCTGAGATTTCTTGGTAGGAATAACAGTATTTCTGGGAATCAACTTTGTCATCACCCCACCAACAGTTTCAATTCCAAGGGTGAGGGGAGCCACATCCAGGAGAAGGATATCTGGATCCAGAGTGCCACATAACAATGAGAAAGTGTAATGCTTGGCAATCTACTTGCATCAATAAAATTTATGACCTCTAACCAAGTAATTAAGAAACTAGACTATGTACCTTTGGTTTCTTCACCACCCTCTCCACTCAAAATACTTCCTTGAACTGCAGCACCATAGGCAACTGCCTCATCAGGGTTGACACCCTTGTTTGGCTCCTTTCCATCAAAGTAGTCCTTCAAAAGCTGTTGTACTTTTGGAATCCTTGTGCTTCCGCCAACAAGCACAATCTCATCAATCTGATTCTTCTGTAATCCAGCATCCTCCATTGCCTTCTTCACAGGCCCCATTGTCTTACGGAACAAGTCATTGTTCAACTCCTCGAACCGAGCTCTGGTAAGCGGCTCAGAAAAATCAACACCATCAAAGAGTGATTCAATTTCCACGCGGACCTGGTGCTGGCTGCTGAGAGCTCTCTTGGCACGCTCACTTTCTCTTCTAAGCTTGCCAAGTGCTCTGTTGTCCTTGCTAATATCCTTTCCATGCTTTTTCTTGATCAATTTAATGAAGTAGTCCATTATTCTATGATCAAAGTCCTCACCTGGTTAAGGAAAGGAGAAATAGCAGCCATTAACAGCAGAAGAAAATTTTTTATGGAAAGAATAATTTTTCTTTTATTTAATAATTTCCTCTTATTCTGTCTTATTTTATAAGGGGGAAAAAAAGTACTCACCTCCAAGATGAGTATCTCCATTTGTAGCAAGAACCTCAAAAACACCATTATCGATTGTCAAGATACTGACATCAAATGTCCCACCCCCAAGATCAAAGACAAGAATGTTCTTCTCGCCACCTTTCTTGTCCAATCCATATGCAATGGCAGCAGCAGTTGGTTCATTAATAATTCTAGCAACATTCAGACCAGCAATGACACCAGCATCCTTGGTGGCCTGCCTCTGAGCATCATTGAAGTAAGCTGTACATTTGAAAAGAAAATGAGAGAAATTAGAATAAAGACAAAAGCAGGAACAAAAGAACCAATATTGCGGGAGAAATAAGTTGTAAGTTGCTCCATTTACCAGGGACAGTGACCACAGCATCATTAATTTTCTTCCCGAGGAATGCTTCAGCAGTTTCCTTCATCTTGGTCAGAATCATGGCACTGATTTCCTCAGGGCTGAACACCTTGGTCTCACCATCCTTTATTTTTACTTGTATGTAAGGTTTGCCGTCCTTGTTGACAATCTTATAAGGAACAAGCTTCATGTCTTTTTGAACTTCCTTATCTTCAAACCTGCAAAAAGATACCCATCAGTCACCTTTATTCCCATCAAGTCAAATTGTCATAAATCAACAACTTGAGGATGCCTTACTTTCTTCCAATAAGTCTCTTGACATCAAATATGGTCCTTTCAGGGTTGACAGCTGCCTGATTCTTTGCAGCCTCCCCAATCAGTCTTTCACTGTCGGTGAAAGCAACCCATGATGGGGTGATGCGGTTACCTTGGTCATTGGCTATGATTTCAACATGACCATTCTTGTAAACACCAACACAGGAATAGGTTGTTCCAAGGTCTATCCCAATAACTGTCCCTAACTTGGTGGCTTCCTCTTTTGCAATGGAAATTGCAAACAGACATCCTGTGATGAACTTTCTCAATGTTAATTACAACACAAACTCAACGTAGTTACTGATGCTGAATTGAATAACGTAATTTCATGTGACAAAACCATTATTCTATAAAAACAGAAATCAATTATTTTAACAAAAGCATTATTGTAGAAAAACCTAACTCAATTATTTAATGCGTTCTTCCCAAATAAGGGAAATCAGGTAACAATGGTGATTGATGCCAATTCCATTAACGACATTGCTAAAAAATGAGAATTCATATTGATATTCGTGCTTTGATTGATACTATTTACAATATTTAATGTCTTTCAACTGCCTATTTAGGAAAAGCTTCATCATAACATACTTCATCATAATTGTTTACTCGGTTTAACAAACATAAAAAGGAAATAATAAAATCAATATAACACTCCCGCAAGATGTAAAGCAGAACAAGAACTAATCAATGTTGATGAGTTTCTTAGATGCACAGAGAGGCATACGATTACTCACTGTCACTAACTACTAATTAGTTTCTTAGATGCACAGAGAGGCATACGATTACTCACTGTCACTAACTACTAATTATTCTTTAGATGTGAAGTGAAGAGAATGTTAACCAAGTAGGGCTAAGATCTCATCAGATCCATCAAAATCGGGGATACAAACAAGCACGAAAAAAGGTTTAAAGCATGCATAGCGAGATCTGGCTACATTATGCAAAAGCTAGAAAAAGGTAATGAGATCTTATTACCGAAGGAAACGATGGCTAGAAGAACCAGAGACACGCGTGAACACGAGCCAGCCATGGTGTCACCCTCTCAAGGAGCTTGTTTCGAAGATGAAAGAGAGTTCTCTAAACTTCTATTGATGGAATATGCGCTGAGTCGTAGAGCGCTATTTATAGTGCCCACGCCGACTCTAACGAAAGCTCGGACATGTCATTTGTGATGACGTGGACCAATAGAAAGTAGAGAATGGATTGTTTCGGCCAATAATATTGGTCCTTGTGTTTGGCAACACCTCTCAACTTTCTCATCCTTGTTCATTAACTCCATCTAATTTAATAAATCATAAGCTTTCTTAGACTTTAATTTTGACCGAATCCTTTTAAGTAATTCTCATTATAATTAAAAAATTTATTTATACTAATACAATGATGCATAATTATAAATGAATTATTTATTCCAATTTTTTTTCACAAAAGCTTTGTAATTTGAATTTTGTGTGTTCAATTTTAACCTTTTTGTTCCATACAAGTATACAACAATTAACCTTGGGGGCCTATTAATTAAAGAAATATATTTCATCTTGCTGAGGGGGTTGATGAATCTATTCAAACCAATTCAAACTGTGATGACCGAATACAAAAATTGATAAATCAAAAATTAAAAATTGGAAAAAATTGTATATATTAATTGAATTGAATTGATTTTCGATTTAATCGGTGAAAATCGATCTAATCCAAACCAATCCAATGTATTATGTATTAATCCAAATCGATTTAATCCAATCCAATTAAAAATATATTTTATCTTAGTGCAAAAGTTGCTCTAATTATCCTAAACAAAATCGCAAATTTGTTGACGCAACTGATGTAGGATGCTGTGGATTAGAAAAATGAACGTTTCCTTCCCTAATCTGTATGTTCAATTTTTAAATTTTGCATAAAATGTGGCATAATAGAAAGAAAAAGAAGAAGAACTATATGGTATATATGATGAAATTAGTCTAAAAAATCACGTCTAGACTGAAAACACAAGTATTCAAGTCAGATATAGGTGTAATGCAATTCAGCATATTATGTAATATTATTTCGTAACTAGTTTCATTTTGCATCGTTATCCCCCTTATTTGTCAAATATTTGTACTAAAATTTAACCCCCAAAAAAAGTGCAATGTATCACCTTATTATCGAGGATTAAATTTTTGTATGTCTGTGAGACGATTTCATATAGGAGATGTGATGTAGAAAATTGGGATTTTATAAAAGAGTAACACTTCGATCTTTAATTTTTATTAACATAATAACAAAATCCAACTTCTATAATAAAGTTAGTAAGCTGACTAATTATAAATTGATTCAAAATTCAAAACTCAAAATCTTAAATCTTAAAAATAAGAATTTTTTTTTACATGAATATAATAGTAATTAACTTCTAAAAGTAAATAACTAATTACAATTAATCATTCAAAACACGTCTCAAATCTTCGATCTCAAATCATGTCAAAAAAATTGAACTGGTTAATTATCGGGAACAAAACAATAAATCAATTTTATCAAACATTATTTCTATCTATTTCTGTAGTCAGGAACAAAAATTAAAAAATAATTAATTTTGAGAAAATTGTCATACACATCCAAAAACTAAATAAAGAAAAACATGTTTTTATTTTAGGTAAAGAATTTCTTCAGTCAATGGAGATAAATTATTTCCGGTGACTGTTTTCTCTTTTATTTATGGCAAATATTTTTCTTATAGGTTCAATAAGGGGCAATCTAATATATGAATCAAGCATATTTATGGGAAGATGACAGATAGACTTGAGTCCTTATCAGAGACACTAAGAAGTCGTTTGGTATGCAATATTCTTCAAGATTCTTGAGAAATTGATTTTTTTTAAATTTTTAATTTTAAAATATTATCGTAAACTGAATGTAAAAATTATATTTTAAAAATCAAAATTACCAGACAAAAACAAATTTCTCGTGTAGCAAACCTCCCTAAAAGTCCATATTCTAGTAGTAAATCCAATAAATTAGAAGTGGTAAAATCGAAAGGTACGTTAGGCTCTCATTGACACGCGTCAAGAAAAGACCATCCGGGTTGAAGTCCAATACAGCAGAACCCGTCCAAGGGTCCGGAGGTGAATTTCCTCGTGCTCGTTCTTGTTTTGCTGTGTTTCATCCTAACTTCGTAGAATCAAAGCTAAAGACTATAAGCCAAGCCAAGACCAAATACACACTTAAATCCTCGTGGTTTACACGTCTCCGATACACACTACAAAAGCCTTTATTGTAAACTGGGACGTTCCATTTCTCAGACCAAACATGAGGTTGTTGAAGGTGGCTACTTGCAATCTCAACCAATGGGCTATGGATTTTGATTGCAACACAAAGCAAATCAAAGACTCCATAGCCAAGGCTAAAGAAGCCGGCGCTGTTATTAGGCTTGGCCCCGAGCTCGAGATTCCTGGTTATGGCTGCGAAGACCACTTCTTGGAGCTTGACACAGTTAACCATGCGTAAGTTTTTTTTTTTTTTTTTTTGTGTGTTTTGTTTAACGTAGGAAGATCTCAAGTTGTCTGGTTTTAATGGGTTTCGTTTCAGATGGGAATGCTTGAAAGATATCTTACTTGGTGATTGGACGGATGACATAGTGTGTAGCATTGGCATGCCTGTTATTAAAGGTTTAGAGCGGTACAATTGTCAGGTGTTGTGTTTGAATCGAAGGATTATTATGATACGACCAAAGATGCGGCTTGCAAACGATGGCAATTATAGAGAACTTCGATGGTTTACAGCATGGAAGCAAAGGGATGAACTTGTGGATTTTCAGCTGCCCAGTGAAATATCTGAGGCGTTAGGCCAAAAATCAGTTCCCTTTGGTTACGGATTCGTTAAGTTTCAAGATACGTAAGTTACACATAATTTTTGTTATTTCTGTATCATTGAAATGTAACATAACTGGCTTCCCTGGCCAATTTTTTGGTTTCGTTTTCTATTATTATTTATAAGTTATGTCCTTTTCATAACCAATAAAATCACTCATCAGATTTTCTAGTTAAGGTGAATCATTGGTTAATGCTAAATTCCGGGATTAATAAATTATAGATTTTTTCATCTTTTCTGTTCTGTGTGAACTTACCTTACAACCACTACGTATGTTTTATCCTCTTGCGTTTTAAAGTTGACATCCCTACTGGCATTGCATCCATTGAGCAATCTTGTAATTGACATAACTGCCCTTTCTTTCATACACGTAAGAACTAGTGCGCTCCCACTATATAGCGTGTGCGTGTGTTTAATTTATTTTTTGGGCCCTTCCAAGTTGCAGTCAGATGTTTATCAAGTGCTAAATATGAAGTATTTTCCCCCTTCTAAGTGCTATTGCAGCTGAAGTTTGTGAAGAGCTTTTTACTCCAATGCCCCCTCATTCTGAGCTTGCATTGAATGGGGTTGAAGTGTTTCTGAATGCAAGTGGAAGTCACCACCAACTTAGAAAGCTCGATGTTCGTCTTGATGCTTTTATACGTGCCACCGGTACTTGCGGAGGGGTTTACGTGTATAGCAATCAACAAGGCTGTGATGGTGGTCGCCTTTACTATGGTAGAAAAAATTTCTCTTAATAGAATGATATTTGTGCTTTTCACATTTCTGTCCATTGCATATTCTGGAGAGTCAAATACCGTTAACATTCTGGAAGTTGGTATAAGGGTATTTTAACTTCCATTTTGCTTGTTTATCTCTTACGTAGATTTCATTTATGTAGGCTTTTTTCATTTGTCTGAAATTTGATCTTATCTTTCACTTATTTGTAACAGATGGCTGTGCCTGTGTTGTGGTGAATGGAGACGTTGTTGCTCAGGGTTCACAATTTTCTTTAAAGGATATTGAGATTGTGGTTGCTCAGATAGACCTAGATGTGGTATGCGTTGCATGAGTTTCCGTATATTAATGCATACAAGGGCATATTGACTATCAATGATTGACATTAGATTTGGTTCCTTTACTCATTTGTCTATCGGTAGGTTGCAAGCCTTAGAGGATCTGTAAGTAGCTTGCGAGAGCTAGCAAGTTGCAAAAACAAGGTTCCTTCGGTGGAAGTACCATACAGTCTTTGTGTTCCTTTTAACCTTAAAATACGCCTTTCCGTTTCACTTAAGGTTAGTTTATTGTCATCTTGAGTTGCAACTTTCAGATAGCTAAAATTAATTAGCTTTATAGGTGCACATAAATTGATGACGTCTTGATCTCTGCTTTCATTTAAAGAGAATCTGGCACTTAGCTTTTTTTGTGCCAAAATCTGGATCCTTCTATGATAATGTCACAACATTACTGCTGCAATCACTCAGGTATCCAAATTCCTAAAATGAACATGCTTTGTGCTTTACAGATACAGTATCACTGTCCCGAGGAGGAAATAGCATTTGGACCTGGTTGTTGGTTATGGGACTACTTGAGAAGAAGTGGAGCATCCGGCTTTCTGCTTCCTCTTTCTGGTGGAGCAGACAGTTCCTCTGTGGCTGCAATTGTTGGATGCATGTGTCAGCTGGTTGTGAAAGGTGGGTTCAAATGTGAGGACAAGTGCTGTTAGATTCTTGTATACCTTCAATGTTCCTATTTCAGGTCAACTTGTGACAGTATTTGGAAGCTACATTATTGTGTATATGTTAGGAACCCAAAGCTTCCTAAGATTAAAGTTTACTCTAGGAAGGAGCATGGACCCACTTAAGGTATAAGGAGTGTGATCCTCCATTTGGAGGAAAAGCTGTTATGGCCGCTGGAGTGGGAAAATGGGGATAAAAACAAAATTGAGAGTAGGATAAGAGAATAGATTGGGGAGGGTTGTAAGGAGAGATTGGCCTCTCGAAAGCCAGATATCCATTTCCTTTTTTTGCATTTCTTGTATTTTTCTTATATGCATTTCTGCTGTCATCTTGAGATCAGCAAGCTTTATGTAATACGATACAGTTTCTAGATTCATAGGTGAATTTTCTCTGTATAAAGATCACCGGGAAGGGTAGTTAAGAGGTCATATATAATTGACTGACAACTGAATTAGTTGGAGAAGTGGACCTGAATCTTCATATTTCCTTTCTAGAAAGTCATGCATAATTGCTTGAATATAGAACGTAGACCTTTTATTAGTTTAGAGTGATTAACTTTGGGAAAAACTACTCTTATGCTACATGTGATAATTTTCTTTCCTACACACCCTTTGATAACTGTGCCACCTTTTTCTTTTCTTTTCTTTTTATTTTTCAGATGGTGGAGCTCACAAATTTGTCTCTATGACATGAGATAACTTATCTCCTTTAACATGAGATTAATAAAACCCATTAACTTTTTACAAAGAAACTCGACTGCTGTCAAATCATGGTCAATAGTAAAATTGAGATGGATAATTGGCCTCTCTTTTTCATTTTCTTTCTTTCTTTTTAATGTGGCGGAGGTAAAATAAATAGCAGTACTTGACCTTACAAGCCCAAACGTTGTAGTTTGGATATCATTGGCTAGTAATTCATATTTGACTGCAGAAATCGCAAATGGGGATGAACAAGTTAAAGCTGATGCAATACGAATAGGAAACTATAAAGATGGACAGTATCCTACAGATAGCAGGGAATTTGCTAAACGAATATTCTATACTGTGTTTATGGGATCTGAAAACAGGTAAGTGATATATTTCATGTTTTAGTGTTTTACAATCTTTGGCTCTATGTCTCTGAGTTTCTGTGTGCTATATTCCTCTTCTTTTTATTTATTTATCTTTTTGGGGGTGATGGATTTGATAAGAGGGAGTCTGAAATTGTTGTAAAATTGTTCTGTTGTGATCACAATGGTTTGATTTATGGAAAAAATTTATTTGTTAAAATGCAATAATAAGTCTGCGTACAAGGATTTCCATCATCTTTATCCTCACAAGTCAGGGTTTCATACGGAGGGATTTTTTTATTTATGGTTTTGATACTATTTTCTTTTATTCCATTTTTTTTTTAACTCCCCCAATCAAATTTATATAATGGTGGCATTGAACAAAGCTGATTGTTTTTGTCTTTGAAACACATTAATGATATCACAGAAGTTTGACCGGTAAGCTTTATATGATTTCCTTTTCTAAAACTTGTATCTCAAAATGTCTGGGGTTTCTGTGATCCTGGATACCTGATCTAGTACTAATATTTATTAAATCCTGTGTGATCTTATGAGGTTGAACGGGTGCTTTTCGGAACTTCTAGCACTCGGAATAGTTATACTATTGTGCAGTGTAAAGCATAGATACTGGTAGACTAAATATATTGAAAGAACTTCGTCCTTGAATGCTAGGATTTGTTTTTCTATGTCGAGTAATCCTTTCATTGTGTCAATCAGTTTATGTTCAAGCAGATTGACACCTTCAAATATATACATGAATTCCACCCAAAAAAATAATATTACTCTTATCAGATGTAATGGGGCACTAAAAATTTTATCCTTGCAGTTCGGAAGTGACAAGGTCACGGGCCAAGGTGCTGGCTGATGAAATTGGCTCATGGCACCTTGATGTTAGCATTGATGGTGTTGTATCTGCTCTTTTGACATTGTTCCAAACACTTACAGGAAAACGACCACGCTATAAGGTAAATGAAGCATGAACTTGTGAATTATTCGTAATCTGTGATGTTGTCAAACACTTGGGAAATTGGGTTTTTTTCGTCTTAGTAGGTTGATATTGTAACAAATAATAGTGTTTTGATTCTAAAACAAGTCATAAACTCATACATAGATCTCCAAATCAAGATGTCAGATTAGTTAAATAACTGTATAGTTTCTTTATGGGAATCTATCTTCTTTTTTCCTGACTACAGCTTGGAAGCATGTTATATATCTTTTGTTTCTATTACATTGTAGCCTCAAATAATTTCTTTGTATGTTTTTGTTTCTACAGGTAGACGGTGGATCTAATGTTGAGAATTTAAGCTTGCAGAACATTCAAGCTCGAATCAGAATGGTACTAGCTTTCATGTTAGCATCACTCTTGCCTTGGGTTCACAACAAACCTGGGTTTTATCTTGTCTTGGGGAGCTCCAATGTGGATGAAGGGTTACGGGGTTACTTGACGAAGGTATCTCTGTACAGCTTTGGGTTATGCTTTTCTTTAGTTTCTCAATTAGTTTGTCTAATTTCTCATGTTTGTGGTCCATTACACCTTAGTTATTAAAGTTTATCTCTTCTTACAGTATGATTGCAGTTCAGCAGATATAAATCCTATTGGGAGTATAAGTAAGCAGGACCTTCGGGCATTCTTGCGATGGGCAGCTGTCCATCTTGGTTACTCATCTTTGGCAGATGTTGAAGCAGCTCCACCCACAGCTGAACTGGAGCCTATACGCTCTAATTACAGTCAGGTAATATTCTATTATATTGTACCTTTCAGTACTGGTCTTGATTCTCTTGATAAATTCTCTCGGTTGCATTGTTTTAATTGCAAATGCATATAATACCATATTTGGTATGTGTTGATAATTGCCTGAGTGGGTCAGCAGAGGTGGTGAGTGGGGAATATGTCATGGCAATACAATAAAGAATTTAAATCATTGTCTATTTCTTTGTACCCAAGTGAAAGGTAATTGTCAAAACTACCCTAGAAATATGTTGTACACCTCTTGGGAGTCTCATAACATCTGAAGGAGCAGAAGGCTGTTTCGCTGGTTGGGCTCATGATTATCTTTGGATTTCTCTGTTCCAGTCTTTTCCCTCTTTATTTTTATTTCAAAACAAAAATATGTAGGAATTTTTTTCTAAATGTTTTCAAAATTCATTTTAGAAATATCCGTAACCAGGGTAGGAGGGAGTTCTCCCTGTGCCCTTGCATCTGAGAATTGCCTTGAAGCAGGGGGAAGAGAATGGCTCATATCAATAAATCCTAGTAACATTTTTCAGTATTAAAAAAAAGGGAAAAAAGTTTCTGATGTTACTTTAGACAACTTTGTCTAATGTTCATCGAAACGACGTCGTTTTGAGGTTGAAAAATTAAAAAATTAGAATGATAAAGACTATTATAACCCTGAAATAAATTAAAATTACAAAAACACCATGATTTCCGTCCCAAAACGACGTCGTTTCGATGAACATTAGATAAAAGTATCTAAAGTAACTTTAGAAAAAACAAACCCTAAAAAAAAAGCATATATGTTTAGTAAAACTACTTTAGTTCATTCATTGTGAGCATTGACAGTTGAAACAACTACTGTCAAGAGTCTTACAATGAACTCAATCCTATGAAAATGGAGAGCAGGAAAGCAATGATTATGTGCAAGTAGGTTAGCAGGATGAATTATCTTAAACCTTAACTGCCTGTCAGCTGCATAACAACTATTTTTACCTGCCCCAAGCTGGATGAAATTGGGCATGTTAAATTTTCAACCTTTGCCATTTTCACATGCTATTGAACTTCTACCTATCAGACACATGCAAGCAATATGTGATCCGTGTGTGTAAACGCTTAACTTTATTTTATGCTTGTTTATGTAGTCAGATGGTCTAGGTGAAATCCAGGAACCAGTATATTCATTTGTTTTCCCTTCAGCAGTGCTCTATTAGTTTTTGCTTGTTGAGCATTTGACTTTTCAATGCCTTTATTTTTCTGCACTAGGTTCTATCTTCATGTATAAGTAATTGTTTGTAGACAAGTTTTAAAAGAATATCAAACGCCTTATTCTTTGTTGAACAGCTTGATGAAGTTGATATGGGAATGACTTACGAGGAACTATCAGTTTATGGAAGACTGCGGAAAATTTTCCGTTGTGGTCCAGTTTCCATGTTCCAGGTATATCTCGTGTTTCTCCATCCTGTCTTATTTATGTTTTCTTTAACCTTTCATTTGTTTTTCATTTTTTTACTTTTCATCTGACAATGATTGAAAGGAATAGGTCAAACAAGTGGTAATCTGACCCACGACCATCCCATAATGTAAATATGTGTGGGGCCGGAAATAATGTGGAATAATGCAAAGCCGAGAAAAGTTAAACCCTACAGGCTATAGCTAATTTACTTGCAAGTCATTTGACAGGTCTCTGAAAGAGGTTTTATTATTGTGTAAGATCAAAATTATTTCATGAACAGAAACTTCTTGAATCGGATATTTTCCTTTGGGAGGGGAGAAACTATTGGTGGTGTCCTGCTTAAAACAGTCATTACTTGCATCAAAGCACAATACCGGATCTTGTCTCTATTTAAAAGCTTGACATATCAAGTATCAAAATGCAAAACCTTATTTACTTGTATTAAGATCTTAGAGGAGTTCTTGATCTGAGCTTTTGTAAAGAACCTTGGGATACACCACTCCAAAAGCTAGCTCAAAGGGTGGGAGTGCCCAAGGCCTTATAAAGGCCACATTAGTTGCCCACACAATCAATGTGAGACTATATATCTCAACACGCCCCCTCACACGAGAGCCCATTGGGCTTGAAGCGTGGATTATGCACAGGCCCAATTTTTGGTTTACCTTTTTGTGCTTTTAATTTTAATTCCACTTTAAAGTGGGGGGCGGTGAGGATCGAACTTGTGACCTTATAGTCACTCAAGCTCTGATACCATGTAAAGAACTTTGGGATACACCACCCCAAAAGCTAGCTCAAAAGGTGGGAGTGTCCAAGGCCTTATAAAGGCCACATTAGTTGCCCACACAATCAATGTGAGACTATATATCTCAACAGCTTTTATTTGCAGAAGCTTTCATAAAAAGAATAAAAATAAAGTAGTCAACCTAATCTAATGGACTCTTCCAAACAGACAAATTGTTTTTTTCCCGAAGGGAAGTTTAGCTGATATCAGCTTTTTGACGGTTTCAGGCCTTCAGCAACCTTTTTGCAAATTTAGCTTCTTATATACTTGTAATAATAGAACGTCTATCTACAACAAAAAAATCAAAAGCAAGCATGGTTTACTTTAGGAGAATATCTAATGAAACAACAAAATAATACACAATATGTAAGTTAAGCAGAGGTAGGCCGAAGCTTACTTGGGGGAAAGTAGTAAAACAAGATTTAATGGAGTGGGATATAGATTGGCGGACAGTATGTCTTAGAACGGAATGGAGAAAAGCTATAAGTATGGTGGAGGGTTAGACCCGCTATTATTCCTATGTTCCAGATGGTCCCTTTTTAGTCCTTTTCCCCTTCATTTCCCCCACTTCTTCTTGTCCCTTTCTTTTTTACTTTTATTTATTTATATATACATATATTGTTATTTTATTTTATCTTATTTTATATTTTTTATATTTTTTTTTTTTTTCAACCGTTTTGTATCTTTTCTGTGGGTTCATCTACCACCGACCCCAATTAATTTGGGATAAAGGTGTTGTTGATGTTGATGTTGTTGATGTAAGTTAAGCATCTCCACAAGAGATCCATACCATGTATCTCCATTCCCATTAGATTGATTTCTAAACTACCATTTTTTCAATTTATATGGAAAGCTTAGCAGGAAGAATAATTTCTCTGGTTAGCATGATGAACTCGAAGGAAAGAAACTTTTAGCATAATCATAGTTATCAAATGCAGATTGCGGCATGTCGCAGCTAACCCCGAAAAAAGCTATAGCGTTATAGCGGGTTGCGGTTGCGGTTGCGGAAATAGCAGAATAGATATATGACAGAAATAATAACAAAAAGAAACATTTTTTAAAGGCAGAGACAACAGCAGAAGTGATAGAGAGTCACAGATAGACTAATAAACCCTTAAATTTTTCTGTTACACATTTAAATTTAGGACAAAATTGACATTTTGCCTTATAACAGCAATATGGCCGCAAATGCGATCGCAATGGCCGCTATTGTGTTCCAGTGCAGCGCGGCGCGGTTTCTTGCGGCGAGGCACCGCGAAACCCATATGGCGCGGCTTGCGGCGCTATTGCGGCGCAATTAACTACTATGAGCATATTAGAATTTTGAATGTTGTCCATTTCGTAGTTCAGACATAACCTGTTGTTTTTTGTAATTTACTGTTGCAGAATCTATGCTGCAGATGGGGTGCGAGATTAACTCCATCACAAGTGGGGGAAAACGTAAAATACTTCTTCAAGTATTATTCCATCAATCGACACAAAATGACTGTATTGACACCTTCCTATCATGCTGAGGTATGTAGTATTATGATATGAAATCAGAGTTGAATTCTGCTGGATAGCTCTTGATGTCCCAAGGATTTTGGCTTGTTCTTATATTTTTGTTGGCTAATGAAAGTTTACAATCTTTCACTCAACTTGCAGAGCTATTCACCAGAGGATAATAGGTTTGATCTTCGCCAGTTTCTTTATAATGCAAGATGGCCATATCAATTTCGAAAAATTGATGAACTTGTACGTGAGTTGGATGTTAAAGATGTAGTTCAAGAATCAGGAAACCATGAGACACTAGCAACTTCATCAGATGGTATTGGATTTGGTGGGATGGGAGTTGCTGCAGTAGGTTCAGGCAATCCCAGTGTTGGATTCTAATTAAAATTAACCACTTCAGTAATAAAAACAAAAGAAATAAATTGTAGATTTGCATATTCAGGACTGCATTCTGGTCCAGACAATGATATAGATTCCATCTTTTTATAGCACTTGCTCGAGTAATGAAATTCATTCAACCTTTCATCCCTGCTTTACTGCTTATGTCAGTGTGAAAACTTTTTTACACTATCAGTCAATCACGTTTAGCCCGCATTATAAAGAGGAAGATGACGATACGACATGAAAGGAAAACATTTGAATTGAAAATATTCCTCCACCTTTCTATTAACATTCCTTTATGATTTGGTATTATAAATCTTGGTTTGTTGGTGATGATTATCACCGTAAAGTTATGAGGAATTAATATTCCAACGTAATTTTCTAATCAACTATTGTAACTGCTCTTTGTTTTTGTTTTTTCCCACTTAAAACACACTTCTATTTTAGAAGACTCAAATCCATTCATTGATAAATTGTACAAACATTCATTTATTTGAAATTAAAATTATTTCCATTTTATTTAATTTCTATTATGGAGAAGTTAAAAACGTTGAATAATTGGAGAAAATATTAATTAGAAATTACTTTCATTTTCAATTTATCTATTTCCATCCAATGATTCTGAAAAAAAAAATCATCTAGAACTGTGGCAACGTTAATAGATCTGTATTATGTGTTTAACTTTTTGGTTTTTGACTGTCACAAGAGGTTACAGCTAACATCGCCCACTGGACCGCAATTACTACAATATTTATTTGTGGGTTTCAATGTGACCCACAATTAATGGACCTGATCTAACATGCATTTAAGTCTCTTGCAATAACAATCAGCTTTTAAAAATTAATAATAACTCCATACAATAGAATAATGAAAGGGTTTATTATTTCTATAGGAGATAAATTTATCTTTTATATATATATAAAAGTGCATGAGATCTATATTTTTTTTCTTTTTATATGGGCCTCATATATTCTATATGTATGTAGAAGATAAATTTTATCTACAACATAAAAAACATTAATTTCATAATGAAATACATTTTTTAAATTCTTTGAAAGATTTAGTTTTATTGTCTAAGTCCCATCTCATACTATACGAATTTTGAGTCAAGAATTGTTATCACTATCTCATATTGCATTCTTAAATCTTCGAGGGCCTCACCACCAAAGTAACTATTTAAGTGTTTTAAAAGTTTTATTTTAGGTATGTTTAATTTTTTAATTTATACTTTTATATGTTTTGGATTTGAGATTGATTCGAGTGTAAAGCTGATTTCAAAGATTTAGTTTTATTGTCTAAGTCTCATCTCATACTATACAACTTTTGAGTAAAGAATTGCTATCACTATCACATATTGCATTCTTAAATCTTCGAAAGTAACTATTTAAGTGTTTTAAAAGTTTTATTTTAGGTATGTTTAATTTTTTAATCTATACTTTTATATGTTTTGGATTTGAGATTGATTCGAGTGTAAAGCTGATTTCACGGGTAATAAAGAATTCACAGGTAATTAAGGATTCACAAGTAATTAAGTATCCTCATCCTGTCATACCAAACCAATAATAACAAGTATTAAAGAAAAACTTTATACAGATAATATTCATATTCGTACAGATTGAATACTGCAAGAATCATCAACAAAAGAACACAACTGAAAGATAAAAAAAAAAAAAAAAAAACGCACACGACTTTTGCACGACCAAATTTTTCATTTTTTATTTTTAAAGTGTTGCTATAAATTGTTAAATATTTCCATGCAACACTCATGCAGCATTTAACAATAATGAGAGACTTTTTAATATTCTTGAAAAAAATTATTTTATTAAGAATGTAACATATGTCCTTATTTAATCATACAAGCTGTTAGATTAAAAGTAAAATATTATGAAATCACATATGAATTTCACAAAATTGCTTAGAGTACTAATTTGGGAGAAAATAAAAATTTCTTTACTATCATTATAAAACAATGAACTAATTATAAGTATTCACGTGTACGAGAGAGACTCCTTTTATATGACTGGATACAAGAAACATATTTTAGGACAGACTAATGAAACTCTCCTAGTTTCAGCCAAATCCCTATGTCATTGACAGGGCATGCTACTTCTAGGCCAAAAAATGTCGACTCATGACATTTATAAATCAACTCCCAAGACAACTTGCAAAAGTCGAACTTGAATTTTTAACCAGTGTTAATACTTAACAGCAGGTGACAATCCATGTTACAGAGGATTATAAATTGATGTTTGCTACACAGGAAGTGCTAGGCCTTCGATACTTGGAATGATAACCAGATCTTGAGATTTGTGTGTCGTAACTAAATAAAATAAAATAAAAATTAAAAAAATTAACTGAGTACTAATGCTTTACAACTTAAAGTATCACTTTCCTGACAAATTTAGAGAGGCTGAGAGACTGCACCGAAGTCCCAACCGTAGTCTCCATTTCTAAGACCCAGACAAGGATGGAGAGGATTGCACGAAAACGAACCATACACAACAAAAGTAAAAGCAAGTTCATACAGCTGAAGAAGTTTTGTTTAAAACTAGCACAAAAAAAGTACAAGTAATTTTGCCACCAAAAAGCAAGCACAGGGGAAATTCTTCTTAATTCCGACCTATCAGAAAAATTAAGACTCCGCCTAACCTAATGCTCCTCATCATATCTAGCTCCTGTGTTTGCAAGCGCCAGTCAAATTATAGCAAACATTTCTAGAGCTCGTCGTGAGAGTCATCCTCCTCCTCCTCCCCAGATGCACCACCTGGGGCACCACCTGCTCTCTGATAGACTGCGGTGATAATTGGGTTACAAACGGCTTCCACTTCTTTGAGCTTCTCTTCATATTCTTCTTTCTCCACACTCTGGTTGTCATCCAGCCATTCCAGAGCTTCTTTCACAGCAGTCTCAACTTTCTCCTTTTCATCAGACTCCAACTTGTCAGCCAGCTTGTCTTTGTCACTTATCTGGTTTTTCATGTTGTAGACGTACGTTTCGAGAGCGTTACGAGCATCAATCCTCTCCTTCACTTTTTTGTCTTCCTCGGCAAACTCTTCTGCTTCACGAACCATCCGCTCGATTTCCTCTTGGCTCAGCCGTCCCTTTTCATTCGTAATGGTGATCTTTTCTGCTTTACCAGTTCCCTTGTCTTCCGCCTTCACATTTAGGATGCCATTTGCATCGACTTCAAAGGTCACTTCAATTTGAGGGGTACCTCTGTTCAATTACCACACAAAATTATCAATAAATTACAAACATCAATTGAGCAAAATTTAGAAAGGACGGCATGAAAAGCAGGAAACAAACCTTGGAGCTGGTGGAATTCCTGTCAGATCAAACTTCCCAAGCAACCGGCAATCCTTTGTGAGACTCCTCTCACCTTCAAATACCTATTAATAAAAAGGTGTCAAAATTGGGGTCAAACATTACGAATTTAGAAGAAAAATGTCTCAGCATCATGCGCTAGAGTGGAGTTGAATTATGGAACAGTACCTGAATGGAGACGGTAGTCTGCTGATCCTGGTAGGTGGTAAAAACCTGAGATTTCTTGGTAGGGATAACAGTATTTCTGGGAATCAACTTTGTCATCACCCCACCAACAGTTTCAATTCCAAGGGTGAGGGGAGCCACATCCAGGAGAAGGATATCTGGATCCAGAGTGCCACATAACAATGAGAAAGTGTAATGCTTGGCAATCTACTTGCATCAATAAAATTTATGACCTCTAACCAAGTAATTAAGAAACTAGACTATGTACCTTTGGTTTCTTCACCACCCTCTCCACTCAAAATACTTCCTTGAACTGCAGCACCATAGGCAACTGCCTCATCAGGGTTGACACCCTTGTTTGGCTCCTTTCCATCAAAGTAGTCCTTCAAAAGCTGTTGTACTTTTGGAATCCTTGTGCTTCCGCCAACAAGCACAATCTCATCAATCTGATTCTTCTGTAATCCAGCATCCTCCATTGCCTTCTTCACAGGCCCCATTGTCTTACGGAACAAGTCATTGTTCAACTCCTCGAACCGAGCTCTGGTAAGTGGCTCAGAAAAATCAACACCATCAAAGAGTGATTCAATTTCCACGCGGACCTGGTGCTGGCTGCTGAGAGCTCTCTTGGCACGCTCACTTTCTCTTCTAAGCTTGCCAAGTGCTCTGTTGTCCTTGCTAATATCCTTTCCATGCTTTTTCTTGATCAATTTAATGAAGTAGTCCATTATTCTATGATCAAAGTCCTCACCTGGTTAAGGAAAGGAGAAATAGCAGCCATTAACAGCAGAAGAAAATTTTTTATGGAAAGAATAATTTTTCTTTTATTTAATAATTTCCTCTTATTCTGTCTTATTTTATAAGGGGGGGAAAAAAGTACTCACCTCCAAGATGAGTATCTCCATTTGTAGCAAGAACCTCAAAAACACCATTATCGATTGTCAAGATACTGACATCAAATGTCCCACCCCCAAGATCAAAGACAAGAATGTTCTTCTCGCCACCTTTCTTGTCCAATCCATATGCAATGGCAGCAGCAGTTGGTTCATTAATAATTCTAGCAACATTCAGACCAGCAATGACACCAGCATCCTTGGTGGCCTGCCTCTGAGCATCATTGAAGTAAGCTGTACATTTGAAAAGAAAATGAGAGAAATTAGAATAAAGACAAAAGCAGGAATAAAAGAACCAATATTGCGGGAGAAATAAGTTGTAAGTTGCTCCATTTACCAGGGACAGTGACCACAGCATCATTAATTTTCTTCCCGAGGAATGCTTCAGCAGTTTCCTTCATCTTGGTCAGAATCATGGCACTGATTTCCTCAGGGCTGAACACCTTGGTCTCACCATCCTTTATTTTTACCTGTATGTAAGGTTTGCCGTCCTTGTTGACAATCTTATAAGGAACAAGCTTCATGTCTTTTTGAACTTCCTTATCTTCAAACCTGCAAAAAGATACCCATCAGTCACCTTTATTCCCATCAAGTCAAATTGTCATAAATCAACAACTTGAGGATGCCTTACTTTCTTCCTATAAGTCTCTTGACATCAAAGATGGTCCTTTCAGGGTTGACAGCTGCCTGATTCTTTGCAGCCTCCCCGATCAGTCTCTCACTGTCGGTGAAAGCAACCCATGATGGGGTGATACGGTTACCTTGGTCATTGGCTATGATTTCAACATGGCCATTCTTATAAACACCAACACAGGAATAGGTTGTTCCAAGGTCTATCCCAATGACTGTCCCCAACTTGGTGGCTTCCTCTTTCGCAATGGAAATTGCAAATAGACATCCTACAACGAACTTTCTCAATGTTAGTTACATTATTACAACACTGGAACTCAACGTAAGGGAATTAACTTTTGCATTTGCATATAGTTGTGCTTGACAAATGACAAGCCTGATAAATACAGAGCTTTATTTAGCACGTATTTCTTCCAAATTAGGCGAATCACGGATACTGTTTGCAGTGTATCTGATTATCTGCTAGGCGTAAACTTCATGATGCCATATTCAAAACGAAAACATGAAAACGCCAATAAGTTGCAACGCATGCAATGACAGCAATAGTCTTAAGCAACAAGACGGAACCAAACCTAAGCCAAGCTCCTTTCCGATGTCTAATACTAATCACTAAGCTTAACAGTGAAAAATATTTACTAACAAACTTACAAAGAAATAATGAAACCGACATAAAGCCCTTTCATATAAGAAGGAGAACTAATCACTGTTGATGATTTCTTAGATGCGGATCATATTACTCACATCTGTAAGATCCTGATACTAACGACTATGGAAAGAACGTCACTGAAGTGCAAAAATCCTAAACAACTACGTCTAAGATCTCACTGATCTATTGCTATGTAACACAACACAACCAATCACACAAAAATTCACCAAAATCAGGTTCAAAAAAGGTTCAAAGCAAGCAAGATCTGTTCGCATTTTCCGCTTCCGCATTAAAACAAAAAAATAAAATCAAAAACAGAAAGAGCTATAAAACATGATCGGATCTAATAGGACGTGAAAAAATTACCAAATGAAATAATGGCCAGAACAATCAGAGAGCCGCGTTTCCATGAGCCTGCCATAGCTGTCTCTCTCTCTCTCTCTTTCTCTTCTTCTTCTTCTTCTAGCTAGCGTCCACGATTACGATTCGAATGGTTAACTTAGGTATATGGTTTTCCAATGGCGCGTGAGGCGCTGAGCCGTTTTTATAGTGTGTTCAGTGGAGACTACCAGGCCCATTCCGACTCTACCGAAACCAGGACCCTTTGTCAACTGAAAGCATTACGCTCGAACATGTCATTGATGATGACGTGGACCAATTGCAATTCAGTAATGGGTAGTTCTAGCCAATGATATTCGTCCTTGTGCTGGGAACTTCTCTGCCGTCTATCTTATACACCTCAACATATCAACCTTCTGATTAAACTCTAGTCTCTCTCTATATATATAAATAAGGGTTATTATTAGTACCTCTAATTATCTATTTATGTTTTTATTGATTACTTTTAAATTGTTTTTAAATTATCAACTTTTATATAATTAATTAAAGGGAAAAACATCTATCTTTTTAAAGGATATAATCTTATATCATTTTAGATTCTAACCGTTGATTTTCGTCCATCACCGGTTATAATCTATTGGATCAAATTTAATGGCCAAATTTATTATTAATTAATTAATAATTTTGATCCATTAAATTATAACCGTTGATGGACGAAAATCAATGGTTAGGATCTAAAATGATATAAGATTATATCCTTTAGAATGACAGAGGTTATTCCCTTAATTAAATTTCACTCTCTTAAGAACGATTAAATATCTTAATGTCATTAGGGGTGAAACTGGGTCGGGCCGGCCTACAGGGGCCTACGGCTCGGCCTACATTAGGCCAAACCTAACCTAGTATATTTTGTATAATAGGCCGGGCTTGGGCTTTAAAAAAGCCTGTTTAATAAAAAGGCCGTAGTCCCATTTTCAAAAGGTCGGACCTCTAAGCCTACAGGCCGGCCTATATTATACTATTTACTTTAAATAAAATAAAATAGAGTAAGTATGCCTTGAAGAAAAACAAAAGAAATAAATTTAATTAATTGCAATTATTTATAACTTAATTATATTCGATTATATTTTAATAGAAATCTTACTTTATTTCTTATATAGGAGGAACCGACATCTCAACATGTTAGATTGTGTATATGAATATATTAAAAGATTTATTGGTGAGGTTGTACTTACTATAAGCATCATGATGTGTTTGTTGAATTCATGTAGTTATTTTAATTTACATAGTATGGATTTGTTTGTTAGAGCTGATAAAATATATGTTATTTCGTTTGAGCATTTTGCTTTTGAAAATGACTTAAATGCATATTGTATGAGTTTTGTTATGATTCGTGATTATGTTTTGACGTTGAAATTATGATTTTTTGGTGTAGCAACATAATTTGAGTACTTTGTAAAGTTAATTTATGGTTCTGCCTGGAAGTTAAAAATTAACAGGCTAACGGACTAAGACAGGCCATTTGTTTTTTATAAACAGGTCAAACCAGGCTAACAGTTAGACTCATACTAGGCTTGGGCCAGGCCAAATTAAAATTTTTTGACGTAGACTTGGACTTTTCGGGGTTCGCCCAGCCCAGCCCACTTTCACCCCTAAATGTCATATCTATTAAAATGATACATGTTGTTTCTTATTTTTATTTTTAAATTTTAAATTTAAATTCATTTGAAATAATATTGTATTTTTTATGATATTAAATGTATTTCTATATTTTTAAATTTTTTTTTTTTTTTTGGTACATTGCCAGGAGGTATCCCCATTCAACCTTCTCCGGGCACCATGCCCTCGGGGTACGGCCCGTTAGGGCTAGCCCCTCCTTGTAACAGTGGGTGCACTAAGCTTCGCAACCGGAGAAAGGACGAGACTAATCCCCCAACCGAAGATTTTTTGGCTTATCCTCTGGCCCCCAAAGATTTTCCAAGAAACTGCTTGAGGCAGGGTTTGATTCATATTTTTAAATTTTATATGAATCAATTATGTGTAAATTTATAAATTAAATATTTTTCTATTTTAATTTATATTTTTTATATTTTACATGAATTAAAAAATGCACATATAATATACCGAATACATTTATTGTCACATTATTTAATAAATTTAATTTTTTATATAATTATTAACATAGTCAAAATTATTAAATAAAATTCAGCACACGATTAGATTATGGTGTAAAGATTTCTTACGCTAATAATATATTCAAATTAATTTTAAATAATTAAATTTAAAAATGTAATAAAATAATTAATAAAAAAATAGCAATTGGTGTTTTCCTCATTCTTTATTGTCATTTTATTTGTGAATTTAATTTTATTATGTCATGGATGTAAAAAAAATCATATATTATTATTCAATTATATATTGTTAAGATATTAAAGCAACTTTATTTTTATAATAATTGTTTAAAATTATTTTAACGGTGAAATTTATACTCTTCCTAATCCTTCTCGTTTGATTTATCCTGAAAATCTATGAAAATGCTTTGTAATATGTATTTTAATATTGGGGTTATTGTTTCTCGTATTATATGAGATAAATTTTATTTTCTACACACACATAAAAGTATGTGGGGTCCATGTAAAGAGAAAATAGAGAAAGAGAAAACATAAATCTCATACATTTTTATATATATATAGAAGACAAAATTATCTTCTATAACATAAAAAATAATAAATCATTTAATATTTGCCAATATATTTATGTTGTCAAGCTTTTTTGTTTTGTTTATGGGCTTATCTAGTCTCATGTTGCATGAAAGATGAATCTTATGTCATTGACACATAGTGATGAGGCTCATCGCCTAAAAAAAATTGCACGATTATCGAAAAGCGTATAAAAAAAACTCACCCCATCTAACATGAGAATGATTTTGCCCCTTTACTTAAAGAATCTGAAAGCATCTTGGTTGAGGAACCTCACAAAAATTGTATTTGCTAATTCATCTTTCAAGAGTTGTTAAAAAACAAGACTTCAAATTCCAATCTATAGTGTCTTTAATATGCTAAAAGTGTAATTAAGTTGGAACAATTGGGCAAATCTTAAAAGGTCCCTCGGCACATAGACATTAAAATTTACAATGTCTGTAATAGTTTAAGGTATGGGTGTTCGCGGTCTGGATTGGATCGGTTTTGAAAGCAAAATTTATCTGATCTAATCCCTTCGATTTGATTATTTAATCACCCATTTGGTTTCATTTTTTTTTTCAAATTCGATCCAATCCAATCTAATTTTATTCGATTTGGATAGGATCAGTTTTCGATTTTTTAAAAATTCTAAAATTTATATGATGATTATTGTGCAAATAATATATCTTTTGTATGTATTGGTTTTGTAAAATTTTTATAATGGTTACTGTGCAATCTAAAAGTATGAGTAAATGATAGTCTAATTTTCAATATAGTATAACAAAAAGTTAAAACTGGATAAACTCAATTTCAAGTATCTATCACCTATTGGATAAGAAGGAAAATTAGACAATAATAAAGTAAGGAAAATTGATCTCAATTACTAATATAGAGAGATCTTAAAACAGTTTTTTATTTTAAATTTTGGCATATAAGTTTTATAATAGTATCACATTCACGTGAAAATTATAAAACTAAATAACAAAAATCATTAACTCAATTCACTTGGTGTGGAACCCACTTGGTGTATCGGATCCACTTAGCTCATTGGTGGTGGTCCCCGCCACGGGCTTCCCCCGGGACCCGCCTGACAGTGGTATCAGAGTCGGGTTGTGCTCGAGCTAGCCAGGTGTTTGGCTAAAGGCGGGTTGAGTACTTAGGCTAGGAGTACTCTGTTGAGGGGGAGCATATCAATGTTGAGTTTCACATTCGAGGGAGAGATTGTTGAGATATTCAAGTGTGACGAGTCTCACATTGGTTGGTAATGGGCTAAGTGAAGAGTATATAAGTGGAAGGACCCATGAACCCAATGTCAGGCGGGTCCAGGGGGAAGCCCGTGGCGGGAGACCACTACCAATGAGCCAAGCTACTCCAAGTATACTAAGTGGATCCGACATCTTGTCTCAACCCAAAACCTTAAGGCATTGGGCATTGGGTTCATGGGTCCTTCCACTTATATACTCTTCACTTAGCCCATTACCAACCAATGTGGGACTCATCACACTTGAATATCTCAACAGTCAAGATTATGTATATGATATGTACATTATGTTGTGAGATAATATCAGTAATGACACGAAGTCATTTTCTGGTATATATGTGTATATGTATTTATATGGATTGAATTGTCTGTTATTAGGTACAAGATTATATAGCAGGATATGATACTTGATTATCCAATTTACAACTATTATGTTGTCCACAGACTCTATTCGAAATAGTACTAGATATTATTTTTGAATAATTATTTGATCATTAATTATGGTCACATGGTTGTCAAGTATGGATTTTGTGTAGGTATGAGACTGTACAGTTTATAATAGATGAAAAATAAATTAGGAATGACAATTTATATAATATAAACATAAAGGAAAAAGTCAAGTCTTTCGTTACTTTAATCAAGTATGCAATGATTTTATGACCATATTACATGTTAACAAATTGGGTGCACACAAAACATTACAAAGAGGGAAAGGAGAAGAATGCGCTCTGATCGATGAAGAGAGAATGAACACCGACAGATAATTGCTATTCTATTCAAAACTATTAATTTTAGAAAGCAAAAATATTTATTTTTAATTTTCAACCCCAAAATGATATAATTTTTGGATAGCTAGAGATAAAGTTATGTCAAGTGACTGGAAAAATATTTTTCTCATATTATATATATATATATATATATATTAATTTTCCAAAAAGCTTGTTTTTTTTTCAAACGAAATTTATTTAAAGAAAATTATAAAACATACACCAATTCAATAAACCTGAACTAATCCAAATTTGATCGAACCTTTGTATCCATTTAAATCCAACCTGATTACTATCTTAGCAAGGAAAAAGTCATGATCCTAGGCGTTGTTTGAAAGTAATGAATTAGGATGCTCCCCATATTAAATTTTAAAGTCACTCATAGTTGACAATTGATTTGTACATAACATATTTATAGTACTTTTTTTTTAGAGTAAGATTGTTTCTAAAACAAGAAAACAGTCGTTAAATATACCATTAA